CCAAGCTTCCAAGTCATTCTCCAGTCTCCCAATTCCACCTGCGAATGTCCCCTTCCTGCACTTAGTGCCCTTGCAGGTGACATCAGAAGATTCTTACTCCAACTTGAGAGTGACAGGTTCCCTAAAATATTCCAGTCTGAGGCTCAGGGAGGGCTGCAGATCTGCCTTCTGTCCTTTATGCTTGAGTCTTGCAAATGGGATGCGCAGGCTGGACGTCAGGTGGCAGGGAGTGGTCCCTCTTTGTGTTAAGTTCTTTGAAGAGGTGGAGGCAGTAGGGTGGACTAGGTTGGAGACGCTCTGGGGTTTAACAGAGAGTTAACTTTGCAGCCAGCTATGATTTGTAGGAGAGCTTAAAGGTGGCAGAGAAAATCCTTTTCTTACATTCAGCAGCCTCTCCTAATCGGCTGCTTCTCTGGGTGTCCCTGCTTGGCTGACTACAGATGCATTTTCTTCCCTCCATCTCTAGCTCCCGTTAAGGAGCCAGAGGCCCAGGAGACCCAAGGCAGGGTTAGTCTTCCACAGAAAGAGGAGGCTGATCCTAGCGTCCAGAGCATAGGAGCTTGTAAATCAAACTGTTAGCTTAATGGCTTGGGCCATTATTCTAAAGCAGTGGGGCTGAAACCAGAAGCCAAATGAAAATATAGTCAATTTGTTCATACTTTAGTGACTGAAAGACTATGTAATGTTGGTGGAGATCAGCACTGCAGACAGACAAGGACTTGCCAGGAGGATGGAGTGTCTGGCCAGAGATGGGGCTGGGATGTGCCTTGAGCAAAGCCCTCTTTCTTTTTGTGTGTGGTGTGTGGTGTAGGTGTGTGCAAGTGTGTGAGTGTGTGTGCATGATGTGTGCGCGTGTGTGAGTGTGTGTGCGTGTGTGTGATATGTGTGTGTGGAGATGTGTGTGCGATGTGTGTGCATGTGTGAGTATCTGTGTGTGTGTGTGATGTGTGTGTCATGTGGGGTGTGTGTGCGTGTGTGCGCGTGTGTGTGTATGTGTGCGCACTCGATGTGTGTGTGATGTGTGTGTGATGTGTGTGTGATGTGTGTGATGTTGTGGTGAATGTGTGCATGTGTGTGCGTGCACATGTGTGATGTGTGTGTGTGTGTGTGATGTGTGTGTGTGGGAGATGTGTGTGTGTGATGTGTGTGTGTGGGAGGTGTGTGTGTGTGTGTGTGTGTGTGTGTGTGTGTGTGTGATGT